GGGGGGAGAGAGAGAGAGAGCGCAAGCACAACTATAGGCCAACATCTTGAACATAGATGCAAAGATCCTCAACAAAATACCAGCAAACTAAATCCAATAGCATGTTAAAAGATTACTTACCACGATCAAGTGAGATTCATCCCAAGGATACAAGGATTGTTCAGTATATATATGCAAATCAACATGACACTTCTCATCAGTAGAATGAGGGACAACAGATTAAGAAAAGGCATTTGATAATATTCAACCTCCTTTTATGATAAAAATGCAGACTTTAGGAAGGAATATGCCTCAACATGATAAATGACATTTATAATATGTCAATAGTTAATATTGTATTGAATGGGGCAAGCTGAAAGTGTTCTAAGATCTGAAACAAGAAAATAATGCCCAATTTTACCGCTTTCATTCAACATAGTTCTTAGTGTTTGAGAGAGAACAATCAGACAAAAGAAATAAAGTGCATCCAAATTGGAAAAGAAATAAAACTGTAACATGATACTATATATAGGAACTCTCCAAAATCTACCAAAATACTATTAGAATAAATAAATTCATCAAACTTATAGGACACAAATCAAAATACAAAAATATGCCAATAGTAAATGATCTGAGATACAAAGGAAGAAAGCAATTCCATTCAAGTAGCTACAAATAACAATAAAACATCTAAAAATAAATTTAATCAAAAGGGTGAGAAATGTCCATAATGTAAATTATAAAATGTTGATGAAAGAAATGGAAGAAGACACACTGCAAAGGCAGAAAGAAATTTGGGGTTCACAAACTGAAAAAAAAACATTGTTAAAATGTCCATATTATCCAAGTAATTCACAGATTCAATAGAAAGCTAGAAAAAAAATTCTAAGGCTGATATGCAGTTATACACCCACCCAAATAGCCAAAGCCATCACGAGCCAAACAAGAAAACAAAAAGTATTATACTACCTGACTTCAAGGCATACTACAAAGCCAAAGTAAACAGTATGGTACTGGCATAAAAACAGGTCCACAGATCAGTGGAATAAAATAGATAGTACAGAAGAGAGAACCAACTAATTTCTGACAAAAGTGCAAAGAACACACACTAGAAAAAGGATAGTGCTGGAAAACTGATGTCCACATGTATAAAAATGAAAGTAGATCCTTTTCTTTCACAAGTTACAAAAAATTAAACTAATGGTCTAAAGATATAACTAAGATTTGGAACTCTGAAGGTAGTAGAAGAAAATATAGAGGAAATTCTTCAGAAATATCTAAATGAGCAAAAGATTTTTAGAAAAGACAAAGTACAGTAGATAAAAAGCAAAAATGGACAAAAACAAAACTGTAAAGAAACAATCAACAGTGAAAAACCATAAAAATGGGAGAAAATATTTATGAACTATACAATTGACAAGGAGTTGATATCCAAAGTATATAAACCAAATGAACAAAAGCCTGATTAAAATGGGTGATTGATCTAAATAGATATTTTTCAAAAGAAGACATAGAAATGGCCAGCAAGTCTTTAACAAAAAAAGTTAAACATCACTGATCATTAAGGAAATGCAAATAAAACAAAATCACAAAGAGATATCACTTCACGAGGTAGAATGCTATTATTAAAGACTAAAGATAACAAGCTTGGGTGAAAATGTGGAAAACAATGATTTTATACTATTGGTGGGAACACAGATTAATTACAGGAGATCATATAGAAACCCCTTAGAAAATGAAAAATGGGACTACCACATATCTAGCAACCCCACTCCCAGATGTATATCCAAAGGAAATGAAGTCAGCATGTCTAAGAGTGATCTGCACTCATGTTCAATCACCATACTACTCACACAACAGCCAAGAAAATGGAAACAAGTGTCTGCTAACTGGTAAATAGGTAAAGAAAACAGCACATGTACACAACAAAATACTACTGAACCATAAAAATGAATGAAATCCTGTCATTTGTGACAACATGGATGAAACTGGGGATCCTCATATTAAATGAAATAAGCCAGGCATGGAAACACAAATACTGCATGATGGAATCTTATTTACTTATTTATTTATTTATTTATTTATTTATTTATTTATTTATTAATGACAGGGTGTACAGGGTCTATAGGGTCTCATTGCGTAGATTTAGGACAGACCCGTAGTGATCCTCCTGTTTACAGCCTCCTAAGTGCTAGGATTAAAGGTGCACACCACCATGCCCAGTCTCAATTGCTGTCCAGACTCAATTGCCACCTCAGCGCACCCTGAAGGCGGGGCTGGCATGGCAGGCCAGTGAATTGAACTCATGGTCCCCTGTCTGCCTAAGCAGGTGCTTTAATCTGTTGAGCTATTTGGCTGGCCCTACGTGATGGAGTCTAAAACAGGTGGATTTCAGAGAAGTTAACAATACAGTGATGGTTCAGAGGTGAGGAGAATGGGTGGGAAACCAGGGAAATGTTAATCAATGGGTATTGAGATACAGTTAGATTAAGTGCAAAAGATTTTGATGTCCGCACAGTAGGGTGCCTACAGATAACAATATGCTGTACAATTCTGTTATGGTCCCCCCAAAGCCTCAAGCAGTCTTGGGGCTGCTTCTGCAGTTTGTGATTGATTACTATGGGTGTGGATGTTGTACCTGCCCTGGGGCATGTAGTTTGCATTACAATGTAAGGTGGAAAGAGAAGTTAGCTGCTACCCCTCCCCTGTGCTCTTGCTCTTTGCTGCAGCCATGAAAGGTTACCCCCTGCCATGTGCCACTCTGCCTTGGAGCCAGCTGAGTGTGGACTGAAACCTCTGGTAACTGTGAACTAAATAAACCTTTCCTTCCTTCATTTTGAGTGTCAGGTATTTTTGTCCCAGACAATTTCAAAAAACTAGAAGCAAAGACCTTAAAAGTTTTACCATAGAGCAATGTTCGATAAGTGTTTGAGTAGATTAATATGTTCAATCTGACCTACATATTATTTCATACATATATATCAACACATCACATGGTACTCCATTAATATAATTACTGTTAAAATAAATGTAATTTAAAAAATTAAATTAAAAATGAAAAACTCTAAAGACATAATGATAATGAGATAAACTGCAAATTGAATAGACTTGTAAGTTCCAATGAAGACTCTTAGAAAGGTTTCAGAGATAAGAGCTTTAAAAGCAGTCAACTGGGCTGGAGAGATGGCTCAGTGGTCTAAAGCACCTACTTGGAACAAGCTTGGCAAAGCACAGGGACCGCGGTTCGATCCCCAGCACCACATGCCAGCCAGACCCGCCCCCTGGTGGGCTGAGCTGGCCACACACACACACAATAAATAAATGTAATAAATAAAAATAAATAAATATTTAAAAAAAAAATTAAAAAAAAATAAAAGCAGTCATCTTTCAACTCAGATGAAGAATAATTTCTTCATCTGGAAAACACAAACAGTAATTCTCTGCCTGCCAAATATATAACTTTTATTTCTAGTTAGGAAGGTAATTGAAAATAATGTTATTTACTGAAAAACAAACCCCCGAACTCCAAGTAACAGCATTAAATATGAGGCACACTTGAGTTCTAATCTACTACTTACTAGTTGTGTGACCTGAATAAGTTTCTCTTTTTACATCGCTGTTCCTCAGGTGTAAAATGAGAACAGTAATAGTAGCTAGGGTTGCACTATATGAGGTTAAATTTAAGATGCCTGACACATAGCAAGCACTCATTTAATATTGGTGATGATATAACACTATTTCTAAAATTCCAAGTATTATGGAGATAGGAGGTATTAAAAAATGCATCTTTATTGAAAGCAAACATTAATGTTTAATTATTTGACCAATCTTGCTTATATATATCTGTTAATCTGAGCAACAGATTTGATAAAATATATAACTATTGTTAAGTTTTCATTCTTGTTTTGCAATTCTGTACCATATGGATTGTTGTACGTTACTCTGTTTCTTTGTTTTTACTCTTTAAAATAAAAAATGGGGCTGGCGAGATGGCTCAGTGGTCTAAAGCACCTACTTGGAACAAGCTTGGCAAAGCACAAGGACCACGGTTCGATCCCCCAGTATCACATGCCAGCCAGCCCTGCCCCCTGGTGGGCTAAGCTGGCCACACACACACACACACACACACACACACACACAATAAATAAATAAATGTTAAAAAACAAAACAAAACAAAAAAATTAAAATAAAAATGTATCTTAGCACATATTCAATTATTTCAGAAGATGTTATTCTTAGTAAGCTATACATTTGTGGTTCACTCAAGCTAGTCCTAATTATTGAAATCAACATTTTCTTTTTATTACATGTCTTCTAGATATGATAATAAACCAATAGGACTAACATTACAAGTTGTATATACAGAACAATGCAGCAGTGAATACCATAGACCCTGGAGCCAACTCGTCTAAGTTCAAATATCATCTCTTGTTATTTACTAGCTGTATGATCTTAGGCAACATTACTTAACCCTACTGGGGTTTAGGTTCTGCATTTATAAAATAGGAATGATAATAGCACTTAGCCTGTAAGGTTATTATAAGGATTAAATAAGAAAATATATATATATATATATATATATATATATATATGTCAAAAATGTTAACCATACTTATCATTATTCCTTAGATCATTCTCCCCCCAAAAAAATTCATGTCTGACCACTGCAATTTGATTCTGCAGAAGGCACACAACTGATTTCTAAAGCAGTAAGTAATGCTCATGTATTCACAAACTCTATAGTAATAATAATGAGATTCTTAAACTGACTGGACATCTTGTTTCAGTATGATTAAGAGAAAGAATAAATTCTTCTTTGTTTGGTTTCATTTTGAGACAGAGTTTTGCTACATAGTTAAGGCTGGCCTTGAACTTACTATGTAGCCCAGAGTGGGCTGCTGAGCAAAGTAAATTTTGTATTAAATCTTTTAATTGTCACAGACACAAAGCTAGAGAAGGCTAAGATGCCTTATCAAAATCCACTATAATCTGGCTTTCTCTGTTTTAAGTTTACTTCTTACCTTTCATCTGTATTACGAAGGGATGGAAGCCGAAAGCTTGTGTTTCTGTCAAGCTTTGATTGGCTTTTGGTCCTTTTGATGGAGCCTTTCAGGCGCTTGCTGAAGAATCCCTAGAAAGAAATACAGACATGATGGGAGAGAGAAATAAAAGAGTACCTTAACCTCCTGCACTAACTTTGCAAAACAAAATGGAATTTAGATTTTTATAATGAAGACCTGAAATAATTCAGCTTTTAATTTTTAAATTTTTTAACTTATTGCTTGAAACTATTTGACAATCAGATGGTAGAATATTTTTCTGCGAAATTAAACTTTTTGGTAGCACTAATTTTTGATGTCTTAAAGGGGTTTTACATTATACAGTTATAGTTATAGGAAACTATACAGTTATAGTAGAAAATCTAGTTTTACTAATTTATTTTTAAAAATATAACATACGCAAAAATTGTTCTTTCTATAAAGATAGTGGGGGCCAGGGAGATGGCTCAGAAGAATAAGCACTTGCCTGGTAAGTGTAAGGGCTTGAGTTCAATTCCCAGTTCCGCCAAAAACAAACAAGCAAACAAACAAACAATCTATGAAGATAGTATCAGCAATTTCAACTGAATTGGCAGCCACTCATTTCCTAAACTAAGGGAAAATAAGCAAAGAGAGTAGCGTATACAAAGGACCTGACATCAGAAGGTAGTACTTGGCGTGCTGGAGGATCTGACAGATACTGATAATGACAACAGAAGAAACTTCACAGTAAGAGCGCCAAACACTACTAAGTAATACAAGATAAGGTATTGTTGGCCTCAAAATATTAAGATTAGGTACATAGAGCTTTGGGTATGGTATCTGTAAAGTCAAAATTCAAATGCAGATAAACTTTTAAAATGAAATACAGTTCTTCCATGAAATTATTCAAACATCTAGAATTTAAAGAACAATGTGCTTTATAGTCTTCAGCTCCTCCTGCCATTTCACCAGACTATCTAAAGTCCTTTGAACATATTCCTACTCTTAGAACTTGACAAATATTGGGCATACAACAATGTTTACTGAATAAAATACTAAATATGAGAATGAATGACAGTGGTCATTACTTTTTTTTTGTCATCACTTTTTGGCAAATGAAAGGACATCTGAGAAGCAGAGAGAAGGTGGGAATTCAAAGAAAAAGTAGTAATTCAAAGAAAAATATGCTAACATATTGAAGATGACGCAATCTTTAGGTGAATATAATTTTATATAATGTATAATAAACATTTTCTTAAGAAAAAAAATTGAGCGAACACCAACACATCAAATCTTTCATATTTCTTTAGCTAATACCAAAACCCAATGTTGTGAGGTAAAGACTATATTATGGTAAATTAGGTTAATCTTGTCTAATAACCCCACAACAACCTTGGTGATATAAAACATGCTATGTGTTTACCAGTGGGTCAACCAAGAGTGGCTTTGTTCTATGCTGTTCTTATACAGGGATTTTAGTTAAGGGAAGGTCCATTTCTCTGTTTCTACAGTTGCCTCAGTCAGGTAAAGGTAACATGACAAATATAATCATATATTGCAAAACAATGTTTCAGTCCACAGTAAGCTACATATATGACATAAGATACAATGGAGTCAAAAGTACTTATCACCTAGTAATTTTAATGTATCGTTTTAATGTTTAGATATACAAATATTTACTATTGTGATACAATTGCTTCAGTATAGTAACGAGTTGTACAAGTTTGTAGCCTTGGACTAATACACTGTGTCTCATTGTCCAGGTATATAGCAGGTTATACCATCTAGGTTTCATTCAGATACAATGATGAAACTGCCTGATATATCCCAATCATGAAGTGACATATATCAGTAGTGGTAGCTTTTAAAGTTTTATATCACTTTTAGTCTCACATCATTGAAAAAATTATCCAATGACCACTTTCAATTTCAATGAGGAACAGGTATATAATCCTACCACATACCTAGAAAGAGAACTAGAAATAACCAGTCAATTACAGCATGGACTATCACAGCACTTTACGATGCAAAGTATTTTTTAAACACTAGACACTGCTCCATTCATTAAAGAAAAATGGAAGCAAACTTATCTGAATCACAAGTAAAACTATCTTGATGACTACCAAAAAATATTTATGTTATACCCTGTTGTTTTTGATACCCAAAGAATAAGTGTAGGGCTGGAGTGTACTTCAGCGCCTTAGGATGCATGTAGCTCTCAGTTCAATTCCCAGTACCCACCAGGAGTATAAAATCTCCTAGAAAATAACACACAGACATATATTTCCCAAAGTGACTTTGTATTGTATCTCATTATAAGTTTACAGAAATTAAAGGAGAGAGAGAGAGAGAGAGAGAGAGAGAGAAAAGCTCTTTTTAAAGTACAGCCCTTGTGATTGGTTTAATTTTATTATCATTAGGGGAATTCTCCAATGGAAAGGCTTTATTTACTATCTTTTTTTTTTCTTTTTTCTGTATTTTAGGGAAAGATCTAGGGGCTGGAGAGATGGCTCAGTCGTCTAAGGCACCTACTTAGAACAAGCTTGGCAAAGCATCAGGGACCGCGGTTCAATCCCCCAGCACCACATGCCAGCCAGCCCCGCCCCCTGGTGGGCTGAGCTGGCCACACACACACACCACTCACTCTCTCTCTCTCTCTCTCTCTCTCTCTCTCTCTCTCTCTCTCAAATAAAAAAAAAATTAAAAAAAAATTAAAAAAAAAAAAAAAAGAAAGATCTACAAGGTGTTCAGGGTCTCACTACTAGATTGGACTCACAGTGATCCGCCTCCCAAGAGGTGAGATTACAGGCGTGTGCCACCATGCCCAGTTTCAACTGCCATCTCAGTGTGCCTGGGGATGGGGCTAGCACAACAGGCCCAGGGATCGAACCCCCAGCCCCTGCATATTTTCTATTTTCTATGACTCAATCAGAATGAGTCACCATATTTTCTTGTAAGACTATATTACAGAATTTAAGTGGAATTGTTAAAGTTGGTTAAAAAACCATTAGCCAAAGTGGAGATTGAGTCCAAGGACCTGACCAATTATCATATATAAATATATTTCTCAGAAAAATATAGTTAAGCAGTTGACTGAAAATGTCATTAAAGGTATTCACCAATCTAATCCTTTACCTTTTCATGGTATTCATTTGATTTATATTTCAGATTTTAAAGCATTTAGTTAATGTATTTTATGTCTATTTATACAATTATGCCAGGAATATAAAGGACTCAAAACAAACACAAATTCTGTCTTATAACATAGGAATTTATATATATTTGTAGGTTGGCCAAGGATATAGAACAAATCTCTGATCACTAGGCTGTATCAATAGCAAGCTCCCTAAAACAATATGAAACCATTTCAAAAAACAAACAAAAGATAATAGAATATCCAAGGACTGTGACACAACTATAAAAGTAAGGTATAACATATACCTAATGGGAACTGTAGAAGTAGAAGAAAGGAACAGAAATACCTAGAAAGATAATGATTGGACTTTTTCCCCAAATTAATGTCAGCAAACCACAGATCCATTGAAGCTGCCAAAGTGCTTTAATGCCAAAACAAACAACTACTACACTTAAGCATAATTCAAAGTAGAGAAAAATCAAAGATTAAAAAAAAGTCCTATTTCCCATGCAGTCTGGTTTTTGTTCATGAATTCTCTACATTCCTCTGTCTTTAAGATTTCTACCTACATTTTCCTCCAGAAGATTTAGTGTTTCTGCTTTAATATTTAAATCTTTTATCCATTTTGACTGTAGCTTTGTACATGGTGATAGGCATGTGCCTAATCTTGGCTTTTGGCATGCGAAACCCCTTTTTACCCAGCACCATTTATTAAAGAAGCTATCTTTCTTTCAATGAACATGTTTGACCCCTTTATCAAAGATAAGGTGGCTGAATGTGTTTGCATTTGTGTCTGCATCTTTTAATCTGTTTCAATGATCCTCAGGTCTGTCTCTATGCCAGTACCATGCTGGTTTTATCAGGGCAGCCATATAGCATAATTTCAGGTCAGGTTGTGATACTTCCTTTGTTTTTTCAGGACTGCTTTTGACATTCTCGGTCTCTTCTAGTTCCAACTGAGCTTGAGGAGTTTCCTCTAGCTCTGTGAGGTAAACTAATGGTATTTTAATTTGGATTGCATTGAACCTGTGTAACAATTTTGCGAGTATGGCCATTTTTATATTGTTAGCTCCCCCAATCTAGGAGCATGGAATATTTTTCCATTTTCTCAAATCTTCTTCAATTCTTTTCTGAGAGTACCATAATTTTCACTGTATGATTTTTTTTATGTCCTTTGTGAGATCGATTCCTAAGTATTTCATGTTTTTGGATGTTATTATTCATGAACAAAACCCAAAATGCACGGGAAATACTTCAAAGAATCAACAACTGGGATCTCATCTTTCTGAAAAGTTTCTGCACTTCAAAACAAATCTCCAACACAGAAAACCCACAAACTGGGGAAAAAAATTATAGCCAACTCTCCCTCCAACAAAGGCTTTCTATCTAGGACACATGAAGAATTAAAAAAAAAAATCAAGGCCCTCCCCAAATTCAAAGACCTGATCCAAAAATGGGCATCTGAGATGAATATACACTTCTCAGAGGAAGAAATAAAAATGGCAAATAAGGGGCTGGAGAGATGGCTCAGTGGTCTGAAGCACCTACTTAGAACAAGCTTGGCAAAGCATCAGGGACCGCGGTTCAATCCCCCAGCACCACATGCCAGCCAGCCCGCCCCCCTGGGGGCGGAGCGCCCCACACACACACACCTCTCTCTCTCTCTCTCTCTCTCTCTCTCTCTCTCTCTCTCTCAAATAAATAAAAAAAAATTAAAAAAAAATGGCAAGTAAATATATGAAAAAAAGTTGACATTTCTTGGTCATTTTGGTCATTTGAGAAATGCAAATTAAAACAACAACAAGATTCCATCTCAACCCAGAAAGAATGGCTAACATCAAGAAGTCAGCCCATAACAAATGCTGGAAAGGCTGTGGAGAAAAAGGAACGCATCTGTACTGTTTGTGGGAGTGCAGACTAGCACAACCACTATGGGAATCAGTATGGGGATTCCATCAAAAGCTAGGATTGGAG